TCCTGCCATCGCTGCCTTATCTCGTCACCACCAGCCACCATGGGAGGTGGCCGTGAGTTCGTGTGGGTGTGATTCTGCTTCAAGATGTTTTAAGTGATGGATTCAGACGTACTTTCGGGTGTGCCTGAACTCAAACTGAGGATCTGTAAAGTTTTCAAAAGAAAAATGTTTTAAGTAAAGAATTTATAAGACAAGAAAGGGTGTGGTGCATGTAATCAGCCGGGCTCAAGTAAGTTTCCCAGAATACCCACATATGTTGTCTGTTATGATTTGATTATGAATCTGTGAATCGCATGCTAGTTAGGGCTAGGGGAGATGCATGTGTATGTGTATGAGTTGGTAGAATTGCATGCTAGTGCTGAGTAGTCAGCAATAGGTTGGCCTGATATGTGATGCTTGTAACCGCGAGAATATTGGATGCCATGCTGGAATGAGAATGATAATTGGTATTTGTACCTGCTATGTGTATGCTTTTAAAATTGTATACGGTTAGGATCTTATAGCCTTAGAATAATTGATTTGGCCTTATTTCATGTTCCTTGTTTGGTTGTGGTCCTAGGGTAGAGTCTATTATTCGATAGTCTATTAGATCTTGTTCTGTGTATAATTTGCATGCATAAGGCAGCCGACAGTAAGGATGAATGGATGTGGACAGCGCGAGTCGCAACATGTGGGCGGAATGTTCTATGATAGTTCTTTGGATTGGAGTGCTACTGCACGAATGCTGCTTGCTTTGTGCTTTGTGGAACTCTTGAGTGATGGGAGTCAGCTACTAAGTGGATATGACGATATCCAGGAGGTGGATGGTTGGCATCATAGGGAGTTCCTCAGCAGCTGATGGCAGGGCGAGGTTGGGAACATAGGAAAGCCTAGGATATGCTCCAGTGAGTTAGTTGGGGCGGTTCAGTGAGGTTGGGAGCCTAGTAGGTGCTTCGGTGGATATTGTGCTGCTGTTTGGCGGATATTTGGTGCATCAGTGGGATAGGTGACTTAGAGGATTCGGGAGGATTGCTGAGGAAAGTATGGGTAGGTGTGGAAGGTAGTATGGGCCCGTACTACTGAAAGCACAAGATCCATACTCGAATCAGTGAGAGTCTTGGAGAATCTAAGAAGCTGATAGGAAGGGGAATTCTTGGTTATGTTTGATAGTGGGGATAGTTGCTTTGCCAGATGAGGATGAGCACACATAAGGGAGGACCAGGGTTTGGTCCCGGCTCCGGTGGTGATCCAGATAGCGGAAGGACTGTCAGGATTTTGAGATCGTCGTGGATCTCTCGTATCAGACGACACGGGTTAATTGTGCGTTCTATTGCACTTTCGGGATTGGAGACTATGTCTTGGGGATGGTTAGAAGCCCGATATAGAGCAGAGGTTGCTCCAACTATTGCAGTGCATTTGAGCAGTGAGCAGTGTCCCTGTGGATTCGACCCCGCTTCCATGTGCTATTCTTTAGTGCATTTGAGCAGTGATATTTTATTTATTTAAGACACCCACAAAAACGTTATAAAAATACGTTTAGACAATACCTCCTTGGTACCAAAGTCATTGTGTATTCGGATCATGTGGCTCTCAAGTACTTGATGACGAAGAAAGATGCGAAACCAAGACTCATCTAGTGGATCCTACTACTACAAGAATTTGATTTGGAGATTCGGGATAAGAGCGGATGTGAAAATCTTGTTACATACCATCTAAGTCGGATCATATCAAATGAAACTCCTCACCTATTGCATAACGACTTTCCGGATGAGCATCTCTTTTCCCTAACTCAGTCTATTCCTTGGTATGTTGATATCGTTAACTTTTTGGTCATAAGGTGTCCCGACACATTCACACGTGCTCAGAAAGACAAATTAAAAAGTGATTCAAAATACTATGTGTGGGATGAGCCATATTTGTGGAAACATTATCCCGATCAAATCATTAGGAAATGTGTACCCCAACAAGAGCATCAATCCATTTTATAATTTTGTCATGAACTTGCTTGTATGGGACACTTCAGTGCCAAAGGATGGAGAATATTTCTCAAAAAAACCAAATGCCACAAAATCCGGTCCTCGTTTGTGATGTTTTTTACATATGGGGGATTGATTTTATGGGACCATTTCCCATCTCATTTGGCAACGTCTACATCTTACTCGTGGTTGACTATGTTTCTAAGTGGGTTAAAGCCAAATCCACAAGATCGGACGACGCAAAACGGTTATCGAGTTTTTGAAATCTAATGTTTTTGTGAGATTTGGTGTGCCTAGGGATCTTATTAGTGATCGGGGAATGCATTTTTGTAACAAAATGATGGAGGCTTTTTTTGAATAAGTATAATGTGACCCACCGTGTCTGTACCGTCTAACAACCCAAACGAACGATCAAGCGGAAGTTTCGAATTGGGAAGTCAAGTCCATTCTAGAGAAAACGGTTAACCCAATAAGAAAGAATTGGAGTTTGAGGTTTGATGATGCATTGTGGACTTACCGAACCACTTACAAGTCCCCGATAGGCATGGCTCTATTTTGATTGGTATTCAAAAAGTTGTGTCATCTCCCTGTTAAGTTAGAGCATCTTGCATTTTGGGTGGTGAAGCAATGCAATTTTGATATAGATGAAGTAGGTAGACATAGGAATCTTCAGTCACAAGTTAGATTTTGAACACAAGTACTACACCTTGAGATTCTAATGATTATTTAACCAAATGTTCAAGTGATGAAATTCCACCGTCAACCATCTTTCTCTCATTGATTTGAATCAAACTCTTTACTTGTTTACTTGCAATTTCTAGGTCTTAGTATAACTTTACTTTCTTTAAAGTAACCAAACGACTAAAAACCCAATTTTTACGTTTATTATCATTTCACAAGCATTTGAACAAAGAGATTTTCATTGGGTTACAAATTGAACCAATCCTCATGGATTCGATCCATTTACCATTATATTGTTATTTTAATGTGCAATATTTAGGGTATTTATTTGTTGGTCTCGACAACCACATGTGGTTGTGTATTGGATTAACTAAGAGAGTGTGGCCATATATTTAATATATAAAGCCTAACTTTCAATTTTAATAAAATATGATATCCATGTAGGAATTATATCAACACCATGTGGCATTAATTTAACGAAAATCTACCTATAAGATGTTAAGTTTTATTGTTAACCTTCAAAACCAAGTAAAACGGTCCAAGTAACATGTTACGACAAGTTTACATAAAAAGTGATTAGGGATCTATTGTAATAAATACACATAGTTTGATGATTTATAATGATATTAACCGTTTGTTGGAAGGAGAATATTCATGAAACCTCCTCGCGGTGATTTGAAATTTAGGTATTGACAAGGTGTTATGTTGAGTGTGAATGTGCCGGTGGATGAAGTGGGGGTATGTGTAGGGTGTTTGGATTGTTTGGATTGTTAGAGGTGTTTGATTCATTTGATGGTTGTTGTAGAGAGAGAAAGAGAGAGAGAGAGAGAGAGAGAGAGAGAGTTGAAAGAATTGTGTATTGTAGTGTAGAGATTCATTGGTATTTATAGGTTGAATTTAGATGGTTTAAAAAATGTATTTTTTTGTTCCAAATGGCTAGAAAAAAATGGTCATTTGACCATTGGACCTTCTCTTTCCCTTGTAACCTTTTGTAGTTGCGCTCACGAGACCTCACACTTATGGAGCTTAGGGGTGGTGTACATATGCAACTCACACATGACTTGGCCTTGCCAAGTCACGTTACCCATAACAAGCTATATCACTCTATATAGCCTTACGAAGAGAAAATGGGGGAAAAAGTCTTAAAAGTTGAAACCACAAGTAGGGACAAAGGTATTGTTGAATCGTTCAGATTTTGTTGAATCGGTCAGAGGTTTTCTTTTAATGCCAAACACCCAATAACGCTAAATGGTTTACCTCTTAATTTAACTATTAAGATGTAAAATAATTTCCTAAGGTGGTTGGAGTAGAACTCATCCAACCCACTATCACATCAGCTCCACATCAGTTTTTCTTTCTTATTTTTCTTCCATCCCAACCCACAACAACAGTATCTTTTCCAACTCACTCAACCCACTCAATTAAAAATATACAAAACATCATATAGCATAAATATTTATGCATGAAGAAAAAGTACCTAAAGTATGAGAGTAGAGAGAGAATCTAGAGAGAGGTAGACATTAAATGAGTTATGTAACCCGCAAATGAGGCCAAAAGAACAAGTAATGATAGAACCGCCATCCAATTCTCTCTACTCCGTCCACTGTCTACTATAGGTAACTATGATCATACTATAAGGTTATGTTTGGTACAGATAAACAAGATGAAATTAATAGATTATAATATGATTATAGCTATTTATAGTAGGCAGTCAGAACTCTAATAGAAATAAATGGGCGAATAAAACATGAAAAAGTTCTTAAGCTTGAATTCAGTTCTAGTTTTCTTTTGACAATCTTTTATTTTATAAATAAATTACATTATATATACACTTTTGATTTCAATTTTTCATTTTATACCCTAATCATATAAACATTTTTACTCAACTTTATAAGAAAATTACATATAAAACTATCATATAAATTATACCGTAAATTACACCATTAAAGATCCGGTCGATTTGATCAAAATAGACCAATATTACATACTAATAATTTAAAAAAATTAATTTAAAAAAAAAAAAAAAGAGAGAGAGAGAGAAAATGATTAATACTTTTCTTTGATTTAAACTGGTAGGTAAAAAAAATTTTGTTGATGTTTGATGGCTCTGGTAAATGCAAATCCAACAATATATTGTAGGGAAAAGAGATATGGTTTACATCAAATATTAATGTGTTTTTTTAAAATACCCGATTTTACATATACAAAATCTGATTTTCAAAATCCATCAGTTAATCTATTAGTATACCCTATGATCAAAGTACACCAGGTAACTATAAAATCTTTATACAATCCACTTAAACACAAATCAACTTCCATAGCATATAAATTCAACAAAATTTACATTAATTTCCTTTTTCTAATGCTCCAACAATTGTCATACACAAAAATCACATACATACATGCACATACACATAAATAGCGAAGTAGGTGAGTCACTTGCAGAGGTATTTTTGTCCAACTACAACAATATATGTTAATCATGAGTGTGTGTTATAAACTGTCGATGGTAAACACAAAAACACCATAAAATACAGAAAACATATTGGGATTTCACTTAATACCATTCCTAATGTTTTGTTTGTTGAAATAGATAACTTTGTTATAGCCGGTATATTCATGTCCCATTGACGCATTTGAGAATGATAATATAGAGGAGACGTGGCTTCAGCTTGAGCAGGTTCAACCTCCTATTGAAATGGTGATGTAAAAAGAAAAAATTGGTTATTATCATGAAAGCTGTAAAGCTTGCTATTGGTTTTTTTCTTTGAAGGTACTTTCATTATAACCAAACTACTCCCTATGATCCAAACAAAGCGTCAAAATGCCCCTTAAGGCATTTTATTAAAAAACTTACTTGTTTGCTTATTGATCTCATAGAAGTCAAATTGTAGATGACGTATTTATAATGTACGAAGGGAAAAAAAACGATTTTTTATTTATGAAAGTCAATGTGTGTACAATGATATAAAATAGATTTTCAATGTACTCAAAAAAGTAAAAGTACATTACTATTTCCTGCATTTTTAATGTTTTGTTTTCAAAAGAACATTTATAAAAAGTAAATCCGCTAATTCACAAAAGAGAACGTTGTCATTTGGTAAGAACGTTGTCATTTTCATCCACCAAAATGCATCTGCAGAAAATTAAGATGGAAAAAACTGTCACTATCTGTCTTAATGAAGTCCATATGTGCAAAAGTGAATTTTATTAATTCCAAAAACATTTATGTAAATAATTCATTTCATTTTATGAAAATGAGACCAAACAATCATTTAAAAAGCTCATACACAGCCAAAATAATTTCTTTAAAATAATACCCAGGAGCATAACTCAGTACATGTAAGCCTAATATACAAAAATAAGATTTTAGAATAAATGAATGAAAGAACAATCGATGACAAGTACATAGCCGAGAGAGGGGGTGAGAAAGACCTTTCTATAATTCCATCAACTCTCCTACACATAAAAAAAAAATTAAAAAAAAAAAAAAAAACTGATTTGACTTGGTCAGCCATTACCTCCAATGTTTTTAAATTGTTTTTTGAAGTTAAGATTGTACAAAAAAGATTTAGAATTTAATCAGATAACTATAAAAAACGTAACCCTAATGTGGAAAACAATCAATGTGCACGGTATCCTGATAATAGAACAATAATAAAAGAAATTTACATCATACATTCATGAAAGACGAAAAATCAAGATCTCTGATACTAAATTTCATCAATGGTAAAAGTAATAGAGAAATTATTCATAGATAATTTGCATAAAGCATAACAAAATGGCATCATATATAAAAAACTTTAAGGTAAAATTGATTATTGTTCCTATATAGTTCGAACGATCGTTCTTAACTTCTTTACCCTTTCGAAAACTGAAGCTTCAAATACTTGTATTATCTGGTCAATCTTATTAATAGTTTCTGCATCTGTGATACAAATACAGAGTTCGGATATCAGACCTTTAAGCAGCAGCAAAACATGGAGATTTTTCAATTGACTTTACTTTCAGAGTTTCTTCTAATCATATTTAAAGATCAATAATATATAACATTAAGGATTTGTATGTTTTCAATTGGATATAAACAATAATCAAGATTTTTAGAAATACCATAAATTCATTGCCTTACCTTCCATGATCTTTTCACTACTTTTTTTTTTCAACATCTGTTTTCTCTTCTGCAACAATGCATTAGAAGATGAGTTCTTAGTGCCTATCAGATCTTAATAAAATTTGGGAGTATAACAACTCATAAACCCCAAGCACGTAATAAACTAAGGATGAAAGAGTAATTACTTCCAACACTTGTCCATACTCATGACTAATACAAAATTACCAATAAACCAACCTAAGAAATATTGCATTTCTTGATTATTAAAGAAAGAACAACCTAAGAAGCAGTCTGATCTAACGAGGTCGATTTTGTTTCTGAGAGAAAAAAAAAAAAAAAAAGAAGGAACGCAGATGCAAAGGAGGCGGAGTTTCTTTGGTGTGATATATCTCATAGCTCAACATAAACATCCCATACCTCTACAAAAAACATTTTTATGAGTCTCTACTGATCTGTCTCGTTTCTTTTTGTAGTCGTAGGTGATGGAATTGAAGTCGGACGCTATAGGATGAGTTTTTTGCAGCTTGAAACTCGCCATTGAGTTATTGGGAGCAACATAAGGGATATCGATATGACGGTGGAGGTGGGCGAACCCTAAATCGGCAGTGAGTGACAGTGGGAAGGACGGATCAGAGAAGGAAGCACAAATTTGGTCGATGTGATTTTGCTGTTTTCTGGTTTAGATCATCTCGGTGGATCATCTGTTGTACTCATTGGAAGCAGTGGGAGTGGGAGGTGGAGCAGATGAGGAACTAAAATTGCGACCCCTCAAACTATATGGGGCCGATATTGAATTGGCAGAACTTAACTATTCCTTAGACCTTCCAAAATTAATACTATATAAAATTTGTGGTTAATATATCCGTCGGTGCCGACATATGTTTTTGACAAAACCTCAAATAATCCCATGTGGTTTTTCCAAAATCTAGTATATAATCCTGAAGTTTAAAAATCCATAGATGGTCTAACTGATTTCAATCACTTTTAAAAAATAAACAAATAGTTTCTCATCCACATAAATTATATACCAATTATAATATATTTTTAATTTTCTTTATCTACATCTATTTTTTTTTAAAAGAAAATAAATAAAAACTCCACCTTAGGCATCTCTCTCTCTCTCTCTCTCAAAATAACAATTTGATTCAATTCACGCTGGAAAACTGTGAAAAACTGTGATCGGCGACGACATCCAAACGTTGCTTTTTCTATCACTGTAACTGTATTTTCAGAACCAATCAGGATCCGTCTGATGGTTCTCACAATCCCCTATCGAAGGAGATCCTTTTTGGCCGGCTTGGATGTGGAAATCGCAATGATAACGGTTAATTTGGCTTCAATTGTTGTCTGATTTGTTAACGTGTTGGTAAGACGATAAAGCTCGTTTAATAAGCCTTTTTGTTCGGTGATTACTCTTCCAGAATCGTAATCGAATATGGCGAGTGATTCCAAAACCCTAGCAACACTAATTTATGGATCTAAGTTGACTTTCTAAAGAACAAAATTGAACGATGAAAATAAAGCATCATCCGAGTTGGTTTTCTTTAATCGTTCTTTGACTTCTTTGTAAATAGAATCAGATCCAAAGCGGTAATTTAACGACTTCAACTTCATTGTTGTTGGGACGACGTCCGTGGAATTGAGGACTTGCATGGTGGTCGGGCAGGTGTTGTGGCCAGATTCAAGCCATTTTTTAATGTTAGTCCGATCGTAGGTGATGTCGGTGTAGAGGCTGACAGGGGATCTCATTACATCATTGATATTGGGCACTTGAAGAAACTCGAAACACTAAGGTATAAATCGTTCATCTTTTCCCTCACTATTACTGTTTCTTTTTTCTATAGGAATGAATTGTTGTTTGTTTCTCTCTCTCATATATATATATATATATATATATATATATATATATATAGAGAGAGAGAGAGAGAGAGAGTTGATTTTTTATTTATTTATTTTTTAAATTAAGTTTAAATAAAAAAATAAAAAATATATATTAAAAATGATAAATAAGTCTTTTTAGGGACCATTTATGAAGTTTTATAAACTTCGAAACTATATCTCAGATTTCGGGAGACCAGAGGACCATCTATGAAATTTTTATAAACTTAGAAACTACATTTTAGCACTAAATTTTATTTTTTGAACATAAAATGTCCTGATTATTTCATTTTGGCTCAATTTAACAAAAAAATCCACTTTTTTTCTTTTAACAGAAATGACATATTATCGTGTAAAATCAAATAATCGAGACTTTTATGTTCAAAATATAAAATTTGGGACTAAAATATAACTTTTTCGAAAATATTGGGACTTTTCTGATAATTCTCCTTAAAACTTTGTTTATTTTTTATTTTTAGCTTGTATAAATTAATATCTTACAACAATTTTTTTTTCATTATCTCAATCATTTCTTTTGTGTATAACTAGAAATGTTACTGAAAGAAATTATGGATCCAAATCATGAAGCAATAGCAAACTACTTATAGGAATCGACAAATTTTTACTCAAAGAAATTATGAATAATACAAACGAAAAAATGCCATGATGTTCGCAATGAAAAATGAAAATTAGTCTAGAAAGTGAAAGATCCAACAATTACCACATGGCGTTTTCAACAATTTCAAACAATATATTCAATGAAATACAAAACTACATAATCATTGACTTCAAGCAAATTTAGTTGTACATATTTTAGATTTATTCGGACGCGATGAAGATGATAATTAAATATTATTTGTAAGTTTTATTGTTTTAGTTATTAAATTTTAACTAGTATTTTGCCCGCTGCGTTTTGTGGCGGCGCAAATACATTTCCTAAACTGAAATTTGACGATTTTAATGATAAAAGTTAGATATTATTGCATTCGTTCGTTGATAAATATACAACGCCGATACTACTGAGAAAAATGTCAGTATATGGGGTAAATACGAAAGTTTCGAACGTCGAGGGGATGAAAACGAACAAAAATAAATAAATTTTTTACATTGAAACGTAAAGAAAGTCGAATTTATCCCGATGCGTACATAAAAATAAGCAAGTAAGATTGGTTTTTTAAGTTAACGAACGGAAGTTCAAATAATAAAAAAACGTATAATATGTGATCCGTCTCATACAGACGAAGCGTACATAAAAATAAGCATGTAAACTTAAAAAAAAAAAAACTTAGATAAACTCGAATTTATACTAACACGTGCATAAAAAAAGCTAAGACAATAAAAGATTGAAAGTTCTAAATTTACGTCGAAATGGTGACCATCTTGAATTTATACCAACATATGCATAAAAAAAGCACTTAAAAAGTTTTTTATAAGTTAACGAAGGAAAATTATTAAGAAAAAACAGATTTTATATACTACGAGGATAAACACGAAAGTTTAGAAAATTAAGGGGGTGTAAATGACATATTAAAAAAAGCTAAGACAATAAAAGATTGAAAGTTCTAAATTTACGTCGAAATGGTGACCATCTTAAATTTATACCGACATATGCATAAAAAAAAGCACTTAAAAAGTTTTTTATAAGTTAACGAAGGAAAATTATTAAGAAAAAACAGATTCTATATACTACGATGATAAACACGAAAGTTTAGAAAATTAAGAAGGTGTAAATGACATATTAAAAAGTTAAAAGTGTATGAGATAAAAAAAAATAAAAAAGAATAAAACAAAAAAAAAAAAACCCTGAAATTGCCAAGTAGAGATTAGGACCAAAAAAAAGCATCGGGTGAAATTGCCAAGTAAAAATAGGATAAAAGAAAAAAATAATAAAAAATAAAAAATAAAAAGGACCAAACTTGCCAAGCAATGTCACCAATAGAGTGTGTATACGAACCGAACAAACACGAACTAGGGTTGTGCTCATGTTCATTCGTTTAAGTTAGTAGAACAAATGAACGAACACGAACAAATAATCGAACGGGTTTTCTTGTTCACATGTGTTCGTTTAAAAAATTACATTGTTCATGTTCGTGAAAATGTTAAACGAACATAAACTCACGAACATAAACATACATATATAAATAAACATATATGAACTTAAACGAACATATAAGATAGTAATGCAATCAAACACAATTGAACATATATGAATATAAAATGAATTTAAATGAACGAACATAAATGAACGTAAACGAACAACATAAACGAACGTTTACGAACATAATTAAACGAACGAGATCATTGTTCATGTTTGTTCCTTTAGCTAAACAAACGAGAATTTGTGTTCATGTTCGTTCATTTATTGAATAAACGAACTTCCCGTCAAGCGGTTCACGAACAGCTCGTCGAACGTTCAGTTCGTTTACAGCCCTAGTCACCAATTAATATAGATATAGTTAGAGTAATCATCATAAATAGTCTTGTGGTTTCCAGAAATATCAAGTTCAATCTTCAATTTTATTCGGTCTCACTGAATGTTCATATGGTTTCAATTTCTATCGTGGTTGGTCCCTCATGAATATAAAAAGTATTTTATACCATTTTTTATTTATTTTACATATCCTTTTGACTAATTTTATATTTAAAAGAAAAAAAATAATAAATAAAAATACTTACTCCACCAACCCCACCCGCGTCATCCTATCCTACCCTTTGCTTTTCCCTTTCTAGTCGACTCAACAATTACCACCCCCATAACCACCTTATACCTACACTCCAACACCAACACATCTCCTATTACCCTACCAACGTCACCATCACACAACACAGCCATCACCATCTAATTCACGTCTATTGCTTTATTTTGTTTTGACAAAATTGCAAAAATGGTCCCTGTGGTTTGCAAATTTCTTTGGGTAAGGTCCAAAAAAAAATTTATTAGCAAAAAAGGTCCTTATTTGGTAGTTTAGCTGTGGTTTTAGTCCATATTTCGTTAACTTTAACAATTGGTTGTTAACTTTTTTAAAATGACAATTTTATCCTCAAGGACCATTTTTGCAGTTATCTCTTTTTACCAAATTACAAAGACCATTTCTGCAATTCGTTTGTTAAATTTATTGAATTATTATATATTAATCATTCTTTCTTTTTAATTTTATTGAACTATTATACATTAATTCTTTTTTTAATTTTATTTTTATTAGATTAATTTTTTATCTGATTATTACACATCAGTTAATTTTATTTTTAATATATAATATTTATATATTAATAAATATTATATTATTATATTATTAATTTCTTTTATCTATTTTTTAAAAAAAATTATTGGATTATTTTAAAAAAATATATTTATTAGATTTTTTTATTGTAATATTACATTTAATTTATTATATTCTATATATAATAAATAATATTTTAGTGAACCGTTAATTTTTTTTAAATGTATAATATTAATTCTTTTTAATTTATTGCTTCTACCACAAAGTCTTTGAAATACGCAAAAGCACCGCATCACATTGTCGAAAATTATCGGGACCACCGCTAATCACCTTCATCGGAGGTCCAACAGAAACAATACCAACCTGTTTCACCCAACACCGCTATCCATTAGCCACCCTGCGACAACCTCTTCACAATCCGTCAGAATCTTTTATATTTGCCACTAAGCCGATCGTTTTCCACTAGAACCATCACTATTTGAACCACCAAGAAGTCCAACCCAAACACCCCTGTCATTTCCTCCATTTGTTTCCTTTTACCAGATTACGCCACAAAATCATACTACCAGGTTAGTTCCTCCATTCGTTGCCTTCCACAACCCATTCACAACCTTATAACATCGAAGCTTCAAGCCTGCACTACTTGCAAAGATCTAGTGGTGGATCTGG